TTTCCCTCCCTCTCTTTGTTTGTTTATTTATTTATTTATTTCTGCACAGATCTGCATGAGTCCCCCCCATAGCTAGCAATCCAAAAGAGTCCAGTGGCACCTTTAAGACCAAGGTTTATTCAGGTACAAGCTCTCCCTCCTCTCACTTCTGGTAACATGGGGGTGTGGCCTAATATGCCAATAAGCTATGCTGTCATGGGTGCTAATGAATTCATGCTGTTGGGTGTGGCCTGTTATGCTAATGAGTTCCTGATGTACTTTTTCTACAAAAAAAAGCCCTAAATTACTATGTCTGTCAATTGGCTATAGTAAAAGATCTCCATGTATTTTCTAACTGGGCTTCAGGACATTTCCAAGACAGCAATGACGTGAAAGTCCTCCTAGCCTTCAGTTCTGAAGTGTCAATTTCCATTCTGTAGAAAAGGTGGGGACAAGAAGGCAATCACACCTGATTTGCATAGGCAGTGTGTGTCACATTCTGAGTGCTCTCTCCCTCTTCAAAGCATCTGCTACTACTGCTCTCTCAGAACCCTGAATGCAGGATGGTTCTGTCAGGCAGGACACCTGTTGGGCTGAGACAATCTCTTTGCCACCTCCCTTGCTTTCTTTTGGTTGCTACTTTGATCTGTTCAGCACCTGCAGAAACTTGGACTCCAGAAGGCTACCAGGATGCTTTCCCTCCATTGTGGCATCTTGCTCCTGGAAACCTGGAAGAATACCCAGTGAAAGGCAATAAAATTTTGATTGCTGCCTGGAACTACAAGGAAAGAATGGGGATGTATAAAATAATGTTACAGCATTCAGCTAAATATTTTGCAGCACTGGGAGCCAATAATGAAGACAATATCCTCTGGGGTTTGCCACTGCAACATGGTTGGCAATACCAGTCCGGTATGTATGATCTGAACCTTCAGAGGAGAAAAGGGTGGCTACCAATGACACATCATGCTCTGTTGTGCTGCTTGCACCTCCTGAACTACTGTTTTTCTCCTGGCATTAAGGTTATGACTTTTAAGTGCTAGATGAAAATATGCTGATTTTTCAAGCTATTTTTATAGACTTTTGATGCCTGGCTTGGCATTTAGTTTCTTCCATAGTGGTATTTTTTTCCTTCATTGCTACAGTGCTACTCAGATGTTTTGATGCATGATTTATCTCTCTAATGTCATTGCTCTCTGCTTTTTTATGGCCTTATCACTCCAATTTTATACTGTGTTTGCCTTTACAGGTACTTCTTATGCGTGTTATTACAATATGCTGCTTCCCTTTTGGTTGTACCTCTTGTATTATCTGCCTTGCTTTAATCGACAGGAGCCATCTTGACAGTTTTTAAACTATGGGAGGACTTCTTTGAACCATTTTATTTTTGCACCATATGCATTGTGCCTTCGTCTTTGAATGATAATTCCTGGGGTCCTCAAAAGGAGAGAAAAACATTGACATACGTGAGGCAGTCATGCTCCCCTGAATTAGTCCCTCCTTCCCAAAAAAGAAGGGCATACTCTTCCTACCTCCACTACTTTCAGGGCAGCAGTGAAGTTAGTAAATTGTAAATAAATCCTGTGTGAAGTCCCAGTGGGCAACCGAATTAGCACCACTGCTTGTAGAGTTCTGGTCTGGGATCTGGAAGACACTAGTTTTTATTGTTGTTGTTGTTGTTGTTGTTGTTGTTGTTGTTGTTGTTGTTATAGCTTTATTAGGTTATTGCATACATTACATAATATCCTGTAAGGTATTTTGCATATTACATAGTAATTTAAAAGACAGTTTGCGCATTACCATAGAATAATATCTCTCTTGTAATAAAATGATGCAGATTAACATACATACAGCATACTTTATTGATTGTTCCTATAACTATTGGAGTGTTTTGTGTATATTAAGCCTTAGAGGTGTAACCATCTATGATATGTTTGATTACGTGGTAGTAGATCCTGTAGTGTCATGTACTCCAGTACCGGTGCCCAAACCTATACAAATTTAGAGTAGACACTAGTTTGAATCCCCGCTCTGCAATAGAAGCTTGCCCAGTGACCTGGGGCCAATCACACACTCTTAGCATCACTTACCTGACAGGGTTGTCGCAAGGATAAAATAAAGAAGATGAAAATGTTGTAAGACAATGAGTCTTGCAGGGGGGAAGGTGGCATATAGATGAAGTAAATGAAGAGAATTATGAATAAAAGTCCCTGTTATATAGCAAATGAGATTTGACTATATGGCAATGTATCTGAGGGCAAAGGAAGCTTAATGCAAAGTAAAAGGTACCCTTAGTGTATACATTCATGTTCATGTTCATATCTCAGCATTTATGTTTTAAAACTAATAATAAAAATGAAACTTTAGTTCTATGGTATGGGATAAAATTACAATTCTATGCTTTAAAAGCCATCTGGAATTATCACTAGTTTACAAATACTATTTATACAATTCTTAGGTGGCTTTCAGCTCTCTCTCTAAGGAGTCCAAATGATTCCTGGTTTGCCATATAAACACATGAATATCCGTTATGGTTTCAGCTGCATTTTGCTCTTTATCCCACTTCTGAGAATGGGGCAACCTGCTTTTCTATGATTATTTGTACACTTCAATAATGTTTGTTGCATGTCATTCCACAGCCAATCCTGAGGTCAGTGATTCCGGTATTTCTAATAAACAAGGCTGCAAGGAGTGATGAAACAGGACATTGCAAAACAAATGCTGGGTTAGGATCCAGACAGCGTTCTCAGTCAGTCTCATCCAGTTCTCCTCCTTTCTATAGCCCCTGTCAAACATGGGTTTTGTAGATGAAGGTCCCTTGATCCCCTGCAGAATCCCTGTTTCAGTTGGTTAGATTACATCCTTCATCCTGTTTTTGCTAGCAGAAAATGTGGTTGGATCCAACCCAATTAATTTGAAACATATCTCTGTTAGATCAAGCAAAATAAGTACTTTTTCCAATGCAAAAAACAGTTATTCATATCTTAGCAAAGTCCTGGGCCATGTGTGAAAATCTTGGCCATTTAGATAAATACATTTTTAATTAAATGCTCTAATGAATTGTCTTGCAGGCAGACTAGCAGATCCACTAAATTTTACATCTTGTGGCCATGAAGATGGAGAAAATCTGTGCATATCTGCACACAGCTGGTGGGCTTGTAAGTATACATTGTGTTAGGTAAACACTGAACGGTCTACAAAGCATTATTGTCCAGTAAGTGTTCCATAACAGCAAAATCTTTTCTATTTAAAGCTCCCACTCCAGCACACAAATAATAGTAGTAAATTACTCTCTGACATTCTAATTCATCTGTATGTAATTTTTCAACATAGAGGGGGTTTTAGCCAAAGCTTACTCAGTGCTGATTTCTGTACTACACACTACACAAGGCTCCTTCAATTCCCACCCCTACACCCCATTAAAGAGAACAAAGATAGAGAACAGATTTGCCTGGTCTTGGAAAGCCTGGAATAAATGGGCAATTGGTGGTGGACAGGCTTCCACTGGTCCCTCTTCAAGATGTTGTCATATCTGAAGAAGTGAGCAGTGTCTCACAAAAGCTCATACCCTGCCACCTATTTTGTTAGTCTAAGGTGATACTGGACTTTTGCTCTTGGAAGAAGAGCTATTGGAAGAAGAGTCACTTGCTGTACGAAGGCTCCTTGGGCTGGTAGAAGGCTTCAGATTTTCAGTGGAATGGTAGGATACACACCACTGTCAGTTCACAGGAATGCCTATTGCTGACACACTATAGATCCACGTGTTCTTCTGTGAGCCTGATCCATGGAACAGCTTTTAGAATGACCTGCTAGTGAATGGCATATTGATAAAAGAAGACAAAGAGGGGAACACCATCTGGAATGCAGTCTGGAATGCAACTGGCTCAATATTGATTAGGGTGTTTTAATCGGGGTACTTAACATCAGTGCTCCAATATCTTCCTTCACTGTCCAATATGCCTGCAGCATTTTAAAATAAAACTGTGATACTATGCATATTTACATGGTATGGAGACTGGCACTTGGGCATACGCAGAATGTTTTCTACCCTAACTCATGTCACAGACCCCAGCCCATCACCGACCCAATCAATGGTCAAAATTTTATAAACAAACAAACAGAAACTGCTAGTATCTCCACTGCTCACTAAGCTGCTATTTATTCTTCTATGAAAAGAGTCACACAATATTCATATCAGCTGCAGAGCAAGTTTGAGAGCATACACTGTCCAGAGTTTCTTGACATGAAGGACAGGATAAAATGTACTAACTACACAGATGGTTGATGTGAAGCAGACCTACAAAACCAACTACTTTTTCACTTCGAGTGTAGTTAACATGTGGAATTCAGTACTAATAGGACTTAGTACTATAGGGCTGCGGTCAAACACACTAAATAATCCACTTTCAATCCACTTTCAGTGCACTTTCCAACTGGATTTTACTGTGTAAACTGGCAAAATCCATTTGAGAAGTGCATTGAAAGTGGATTGTTTTGTGTGTGTGACTGCAGTTTAGGATTTAGGATCACTAGGTTGGTTAGCTTCAACAGGAGATTAGAAAGATTTGTGGAGAACTGGTCCATCAATAGGTATTAGCTATATAAATGAAACAGAGGTCCAGTGGCACCTGAGAGGCAAGCGGCATTTATTCCAGGATACTCAGGGGATGCATAACTAGGTGCATAACTTAATTTTGATAACTATTTAGACTCTGACATTCTAACTAGTGATGTCACCCACCCCCCTGCCCCACCCCAAGCATCAGAATATATTCTGTTATTCTTTAAATTGACACTGGACTCCAGTTTTGTTTTGCTACAATAGACCAACATGGCTACCCCTACAGTATTAGCTGTAGATACTAACTGAAACTTCTAAGTTCACAGGCAGTAACTCTCTGAATATTAGTGCTGGGAGGCAAGAACATTGGGAAGCTTTGGCTACTGGATCCTCCTTGTAAACCTTTCAAGCGTATCTGGTTAGCAATTATGTGAAACTGGATACTGGACTAGATAGACAATTGGACATGTTACGTATTAGGTCAGGAACATTCCAGAACTATCTACCAGAGGCTGGCTGAGCTTGGAGTTCTAGAACAATAGCCCACCAGGACTCTGGAAGTGACCAATGAGAAACTAATGTTATGTAAATAGCCTATTGTTTACATTTCTTGCTTTGAGTTCTTCCTCAAGTCCTCTGAGGTTGGAGAAGGTGCGAAGAAGTGTGCCACCTTCTTCTGGGTCTGCAGCCACTCAACATTTGAGATTGCTCGCTCACTGCTAGCACCAGTGGAGCTACAAAACACCCCATTCCAGGGAATTATAGACAAGCTGAAGGAGCACTTTGTGCCAATGCCCTCTATCATTGCAGCCCACCACACATTCTACACAAGGAACCAGGCAACGGGTGAGTCAATCACAGCCTACGTTATGGCCCTACAGTGTGCCGCCCAACATTGCAACTTCCACAACCTTGAGGAAGCACTCTGTGACGGGCTGGTGTGTGGACTTCGGAGTGAGCGGATTCAATGGTGGCTCATCACCAAGCGGGACCCCACATTCAAGGATGCACTTGAGGAAGCCCTTTCCACAGAAGCTGCCGACAAGTTCACCACAGAGGTCCGCCAAGCTCTGAGCCCGCCAGCTTCATGGAGGCCCAACACTGCAGCCCACCATGTGGACACCTCTGATGAGGACAAGGAGGTCCTGAAAGTACAGCGCCCACCCCGCCATGGTACTAGCCAGGCCCGTAGCCAGGATTTCTTAATTCAGGGGGCCTTTAAATAAGTCAGGGGGCACTGATAAAATAAAATAAACTCACACTCGCAGGCAGGAGCAGGGTTATTTCCCCTATTGTGGAGGGTGGGTGTAAGTGGAAGTCAGTCACTGACTCAGAGACGGTAAAATGGTCTCCCAGATCATATTCTGAAACTCCACCTGCTATATCACACTGTTTCAGGGAAAGGGGTGGCTGCTGCAGCAAGCAGCCAGGCCTGGGTGAGGCATGCAAGTCACATGGTATCAAATTGCATGGTGGCTGCTGCCAGGTCTGACCCCACTGAATCCTCCCTCAAGGCCAAAACCAAGAAAGAGCCCTACCCTACCCCCTCTCCCTGCTATTTCCTGATAGAAGCCAAGGCATGAAGACTTTTGTCTTTGCCTAGCAACAGCCACTGAGAGCATCTGTTTCTTAAAGCTACAGGCACTCCTTTTATCATCTTGGGCTCTGTATTTTTTATTTCAGATTTTTCTGCAAATCTGGGGCTTTTCTCAGGTTTGTAGTTCAGTTCTGTGTGTCCATGGCCCCAATCTCTGGATTTAAAAATCCACAGATGGGGCTGTGATGAGAATTAGATATACTGATATTAGATATATTGATTTCTATTTACTCTTACAGGTGCAAATTATGCACTAGCGATTATTCCTTTTCTGGGGGCTGTAGAAAGTGGTTTGTTTGGAGACTTACCATATGAGGTAGAAATGCTACCACCAGATGAGCGAAAAGATGACTTTTGTCATAACACTGTAGAATGCAACAATCACGCACCAAAAGTTATGGCTGGATGGAGGGACTACTTCAAGGTAAGCTATTTTTCTTCTCACATATTATGTCAGAAGACAGTGTGTGGGAGTTACTTCAGTTAAAGAAAGGCTCCTCACCACTTCCTGCATCTATTTACAAGGAGCAGTCAGTTTTTCACCATCCTAAAAAGTAAGTTATATATTCTTTGTTCCCTCACTTCAAAATAGACTAATAGAAGCCTTAGGGTTTTTCTAAATGGTAAAATAAAATACATTTAATTTTAGTTCTATATTTGTTCCCACCTCAAATCAAATGCCAACAGCACCATATTCCTTCTTCAAGCAACAGATGCTGGGTAGAAAGAGATCAATGTAGAATACCAATACTATTTGCGGGGGCGGGGGAGAGGCTGGGTAAGCAATCCATTACTGAAGTAGTCCAAGGAGGACTTCTTAGCCCACAAAGTGCGTGGATGAGAAACATCACGTAGCTTTGCCTGACACAGCTGCATATAGGCAGTACAGGCACTATGAGCTTGCTGAACCTTGCTGAATGTACCTTCAAATATAGGGCATCTCTGAGGAAATCATGTTGACTGCCATGTAGCAGTGACTCTTTGCCTGCTCTTATGGTCTTCTTGTATATTTGTAAACACACCAGTTGTTACAAAAAAGCCACTCAGGGAAGTACACAGTATGAAGAATCACAGAAACAGTTTTGTTCAGTATCTATAGTTGCTGTCCTTGAAGAAGGCTTCAATTCCTGGTGTTTTCTACCAGGAAGTCAGTGCCTTGGATAATAATATTTTATACTGATCATCATGTTTTCTGGGAAGACACAATGAGTACGAACATCTTCAAGCTTGCCAGTTATATTGGGAATAAATAATAATAACTGAACATCTTTCTCATTTAGTATCTCTCATCCACTGCACGGAACTCTGAAGCAATTTCCTTCTCAAAAGATGAAGCATTGAAATATATGTGGAAAGCTCATGTTCTCTCCCTCTCTTATGCACTTCCAAAGTGTCAAAATCGGTAAGATAAAGATTCAGAATACATTCCTTACCATGTGTATTCCTAAATCCAATATAGGGATGCCATCCTGCATTGCAGTACGTTGACATTTTTTGTATACTTATTTTTGGCTTTAAGGCGCCACTGAACTCCTCTTTTTATTTTGTTTCTCTATGTAACCCTTTGTGTACACCTGACCTCACATTAGGCCAGAAACTCTTGTCCTATTGATAGAAGACCAAGCATCGCAGCAGATTGAATGGTCTTGAAACAGATTATATGACCTTTCATTTTACCTCTCATTTTTTTTCAGTCTAAAATTCCTGAGTGGCCCTGAAAGTGCTTTCGGAGCAGACTGGGGTAATGCAGTGGATTTCATTGCAGCCACGCATTTTTCCACAGACCAGATTACTACAAACCATTTCCAAACTGGATTACCACCACGGAAACTCCTTGAAGGAGATAGAGCCCCATCGATTGGTGACTTCACTCCTACGCAGAATAAAGTGTTGTCTCTGCTTTCTTTTCTTCGCAAGACAAATGAGAAAATGAGTAAGGGTTTAAGCCAACTACAAAGTTTATATTTACAGTATAATATTCATTCAAGGTACATTTAGATGTAACACTAGAAGAAGGGTTGAAGCTGAAGTAGTATATGCTTCACCGATAGAAAAGATGGTGCCAACATTAATGAGGAGATGATCATGAGATTATTGGATCTGAACTTCCCTGGTCCAAAAAAAAGTTAACTATCATCTAAAGTCAAATATCTCCCTTTTGGGGTCACAGTGCTCAATGAATGGTGGATGGACAGCTACAGGCCTTCTGAATGAGATAGGTTATCTGGTCGTGATTCTGTTCTTGATCTGAGATTGAAGCTATTTTAGGTTCTGTGATGATGACCTTTGCATGGAGAGAAATGGGACACTGTAATACTGTTAACTGTTCTGCATCTCTTGACAGCTTTGATTACCATTGGCCATTGTATCCATTAAGACCAGTGACTGGCTCTAGGTGCACTATGTTCTGGTAGTTCCATACTTATCTTGCTGACCACCTACTAGTACTGGTCAGCAAGATAAGTATGGAACTACCAGAACATAGTGCACCTAGAGCCAGTCACTGGTCTTAATGGATACAATGGCCAATGGTAATCAAAGCTGTCAAGAGATGTATGTTCTAGTCAAACATTCTAAATAGAAAGCCATTCTAAGTAGAAAGTCATTTTGCTATTTGCAGGCCCATGATGTTAACAAATGCAGCATCTGTATCTTTAGCAGCAAATACATTCACTAATTGTGGCAGACCAATTTTAGCAATTATAAGAGAGATAGATCCCCCCCCCCACAATCCACTTTAGCAACATATGGATACCCAGATAATTAATCCAGATAACAGATTGGAGCCTCTGCCTCAAAGCTTGATGCAGTGACAACATAAATGGTATAGGAGCCATGATTTCTTTCTTCCTTACAAGTCTCCATCATCCCTACAACCTTCATCACTATGAATTAAGTCTAATTGCCCATCCCTAACACTTTGGTTATGGATCTGCGGTGGCTCAAGTGGTTAAGACGCTGAAATGCAGGCTGTGGAAGATCAGTAGTTCGGCTTTGAAACGGAGATGAGCACCGCAACCCTAGAGTCTGACTTGACTGGTTTTCGAGCAAGGGAACCTTTACCTTTTTACTAGTTGGTGATACTGGAATATAGCACTTTTGCTGTAAGAATCCACAGGGTTCTGTTCTGTACCCTGTACCATCTACATGAAATTGCTAGGAGAACTTGTGCAGATGTTCACAGAGAAGTGTGCTGATGAAACACAACTGTGTTACCCCTTTTCAGATGTAAGGTGAGATAGTGGATATTCTGACCAAGTACCTGGAGGCAGTAGGGGGCAAAATGAAAGCAAACATGCTGAAGTTCTTTCCACACAATACTGAGGTACTATCCGTTGACAGTATAACCAATCAGAGATTGAGGCGCGCCTTTGGATCCGACTAGAGTAAAGTATAGTATTACTCAACAGCATTAAACAATCTTCATTGGTTCTTGATTGATCTATTTCACAATCCAAAGTGTGGGTTATTACTTTACCATGTAATCCTGTTCAAAATTACTCCAGTCTAAGTCCATTATAACTCATAACCCTACATAGGATTACACCATTGAAGGCCTACAGAATGGGTGCAGGGCAACTTTCTGTTTAAATACAAACTTGTAGCTTGTTACAATCAGAGACCCTGCTTTGATTAGTTGATAAGAGTTGGGCAGCCATTAGAAGCCAGATCATTTCTAATGTGGATCATATTTCCCATACCTGTTTGGCTGATGCTGAACTTGTTAAGTTTTCAAAGCCATTTTAAGACATTGTTGTTTACCTAGGTATTTCTTTTTTCTTTTTTTAAAGTTTTATTTCCCATATATTACTATCCAAAAGTTGTACCTTCATTTTTCCAGGTACAATATAAAGTACATTCTTCCTCACACAGAACTCTGGGGATGATATATCTGCGGAGGTATGGATTTTGAAATTATGTACTTTCCAATTCCTTATAATTTATCATTTAAATTATAATTCCCAGGATTCATTGGAAGCAACCACAACTGCAGATACAAAATCAATATTCATTTGTAGGTAGATACACCAGGAAAAACTATACAGGGACACAGAACATATACATTGAAGAGTCAGAAAATACTGAGTTGCATAATTCTCAGTAGTAATTACTTTTGTCTTATTGAAGTTCAGCTGTAATCCTGCTTTAGCACTTTCTGCTTTAACCTTCATCAGCAGTCATTTCTAGTCTTTATTATTTTCTGCCAGTAATATGGTGTCATCTGCATGTCTCAAATTGTCAATGTTCCTCCCACCAATTTTCACTCCACCTTCATCTAAATCTAATCCAGTTTTCCTTGTAATGTGTTCACATGAGAAATTAATGTGATGGTCCGATAGCTGCTGCAGTTTTGTTGTCTCCTTTTTTTTTGGAACTGAAATGTTGATTGTTTCCAGTCTATGGGCCATTGTTTTGTTTTTCATATCTGTTGGCATATTCTTGTTAAGATTTTGATGAACTCTGTTTTGGTGGCTTGGAATATCTCTATTGATATCCCATCTACTCCCAGTTGCTCTCAGTGCAGGTTTCACTTCACTTTCTAAAGCTACAGGTTTTTATTCAAAATTTCTTCTTGTAAGGAATCTGTCATCCTTTCATCTCTTTCAGTGTACCATTCCAATCTTTTCTTTATTCTGTCGTGTACAGTTAAAGTATTTCCGTGTTGATCTTTCTGCATCCCTAAATGTGCTTTAAATGTGCCTTTGATTTCTTGGATCTTGCAGAACAGATCTCTTGTTTTTCCTTTTATGTAGTTCTTGTCTCTTTCCTTACATTGGTTATTATAATAGTTCTTTTTATCTCTGTGAGCACTCACTGGAAAGCTGCATTTAGATTTCTGATTCTATTTCTGTCATCTTTTACTCTGTCACCTATCATTAGCAATATTAAGAGTTTATTAGTCATCCATCAGGTTTTTCATTTCTTTTGGCTACAGAAATAGTCTTTGCAAATTCTTCCTTGATAATATCTCCTGCTTCAACCCATAGTTATTTGTTTATTCTTTATTTATTAAATTGGATTTTAACCCCCCTCCCCCTAGAGACAGGGCTCATGGTGGTGTACAGCAGTGCAATACATTCATATAATAAATACATAGTTAAAACAGTTAAAATACAGTACAAAACACAACGATCAGCCTAATAGATGATGCTAAAAACTTTCAATTGTGCCACTGCCTCATGGAAGGCAGGGAGGAGTGCCAGACTGATGGAACCATTGCTGCCTTCAAATGCCTGGTGGAACATCTCTGCTTTACAGGCCCTGTGGAACTGCATTGAGTCCTGCAGGGCATGGATGTTGTTCAGCAGAGAGTTCCACCAGGTTGGAGCCATGGCAGAAAATGCCCTGGTTGAGGACAGCTGGATATCTCTCGGGCTGGGGACCACCAATAACTTCTTATCCACCAAGTGCTATACTCTTCTGAGGGTATATCAGGAGAGCCAGTCTTAAAGATACGTGGGTCCCATACTGTAAAGGGCCTTAAAAGTTAACACCAAAACCTTGAACCTGGTTCGGTATTCCATCAGGAGCCAGTGCAACTCACGCAGCACAGGTTAAATTTGTGCTGCTCATGGTGTCTTGTAAGGACCCATGCCACTGCATTCTGTATCAGTTGGAGTTTCTGGGTCAGTCTCAAGGGTAGCCCTACACAGATCAAGTTACAGTAGTCTAGTCTGGATGTGACCATTGCATGGATTACTTGTGGCTAGATTAGGACAAGACAGGTAGGGAGCCAGTTGCCTGACCTGAAATAGCTTGGAGAATGCCAATCTACGAACAGGTACCACTTTGCCAATATACGAACATTTGTGACCTGGGCCTCCATTAATAAGGAGGCATCCAGAATCACATCCAAACTCTTGACATTTGGTGCCAGACTTAAGGGCACACTGTCAAGGGCTGGGAGTTGGTACCCCAATCCTGAATCCCCCCTTCCCAGCCACAGAACGTCTGTCTTAGCAGAATTCAGTCTCAGCCAGCTCTGTTTCAACCATACCACCACAGCCTCCAACACCTCAGCCAAATTTTTTAGGGCAGTGTCCAGCCGCCCACCCATCAACAGATTAAACTGGGTGTCATCAACATACTGGTGATACCCTAGTCCAAAACTCCACACCAGTTGGGAGACTGGGTGCATATAGATATTAAACAGCACTGGAGAAAGGATTTCCCCCTGAGGAACCTCGCATACTAGGGGATACGTGGTTGACATTCTCTCTCCCAGTGCCACCCTCTGTCCTTGACTGGAATGGGTCCCGGACTGGAATGGATCCAGGGCTGACGTGTCTTCCAGGAAATTCTGGAGCTGTTCTGCAACTGCTCTCTCTATTACCTTACCCAGAAATGAAAGATTTAAGCCTGGGTGGTAATTGGAAGGATCCATAGGATTCAAAGTTGGCTTATTTAAGAGCAGTACAACCACATCCTCTTTCAATCCCTCTGGGTAGACCCCCAAATCCAGGGACAGGTTGATAATGTCTACCAGGGGACCTTGTATTCCTTCACTGCCAGCTTTCAATAGCCATGAGGGATACAAGTCCAAGAGGCATGTGGTTGGCCTATCAGCACCCAAAGTCCTATCAACATCGGCCTGGGATAACCAACTGAAGCTTTCAAATACTGAATCCAAAGACAGCCATAGGGGCTCCAGTTCACTTACTGTATCAATATTGGCTGGGAGGTCATGGCGTAGTGACAAGACTTCATCCGCAAAAAAAGCTCACAAAAGTCTCTCATCTAATCTCTGAATCCCTAACATTTTGGGTTCTCTCAGTGAGAGAAGTTAAAGATCTGATTACCCTAAACAATTGTGCTGGGCAAGAGCTAATGGATGCAATGGAGGCTGTGTAAAATTCCTTTTTAGCAGCCTTCACTGCCACCTCATAGGATTTCATAAATGTCCTATAAGATGTTCTTTAAGCTTTGTTGTGAGTATGCCACCAAACTTGCTCTAGTAGTCTAAGTTTTTGTTTCATCCCCCTGAGTTCCCAATTATCCCAGGGGATATTTTGGACTGGAAGCAAAGAAGAAGTTGGGGAGCGATTTCATTGATGGCTTCAGAGAGATGGGAATTCCAGTCCTCTGTCAGCACATCGAATGAATCACTGGAGGACATCAGATCCCGCAGAGCATTCTGGAACCCAATTGGGTCCATTAGTCTCTGCAGGAGGGCATAAATCCACTCACTGCCTACATGATGGGGCTGGGATAGTTAACTGGGCCTTCAGGGCAAAGTGATCTGATCGTGGCACTTTTTCTTTAACAATCTTATCCATAACCATCCCCATGCCAAAGATCAAGTCCAGCGTGTGGCCTGCTTGATGTGTGGGATCTGATACAATCTGGGAGAGACCTAGTATTGCCATGGAGGACACCAGGTCCAAAGGCTACAGAGAGGCAGTTCTTCTGTTTCATGTCCACTTCACCTTAGTAATGCAAATTGGTTCTTTACATGGCCTTTAAACTCTTTGGGAATGTAGTTTAGATTGTATTTTGGCACTATGACTGTTTCAGTGTTTTTCTTCAGCTATATTCTAGTTTTCCATATTATCTATTTATGGTCTGTGCCACAATCAGCTCCTGGTCAGTTTAGTTGCTTGAAACATGTGTTTGCATTGAACAACTTGCTGCCCTCACAGATTCTAGGAGTCACTCTCCTGCTTCATTTTGTGCTCCTAGCCCAAATCTTCCAACAATATTTGATTCTGTTTTGCTTCCTACTTTTGTGTTCCAGTCACCTACACCATTATCAGCACATCTTATTTAGGTATGTGATCAATTTCCTCCCAGACACTTGCATAAAAGCTTTCCATTTCTTCCATATCAGCATCTGTAGTTGGGGCATAAACTTGAATGATGGCTATGTTGATAGGTTTTCCATGAAGTCTGATTGATATTATTCAGTCAGACTTTGCACTACAGCTCCTGATTGCTTGTGCTACATAGTGGGGTGACATGTCTAATTTTCACTCCCATACACAGTAATGGGGAATACTGTAGTATGAATTATCTTGATCTTGGTCACTGGCGACGCATCCTTACACATAAGAATCTTTTCTCACTCCGTCATGGCTGTCCTTCCCAGTCTCAATCTGCTTATGATTTCTTGGTTACAGTCTCCCTTTTAGTTGATGATTGAGGTCAGGACTTGGAATAATTATTGCTGGCTAGTTTAACAACCACAGTTTTTTCTTACAAATCCAAACACAGTTTTCTTGTGGACCATGAGTCTATGTAAGCTTAACTGAAAATAAGCCTCTCAAAATTTATCTACAAGCAGAAAGGTCTACTGCAAACAGAAAGAGAAGCTAGGATCCAAGTCAAAAAGAACTGGATGGTAATTTTTCATGTGTGCAAACTGAAGGTTTAGCAAACAACTCCAGGAGAAACATTGTGATAATGCATAGTGGATGCGTTAGTCACCTGCTAGGATGGGGTGAATTTCCTTACCATCATGGATTTTTTAAAATATGTTTTTATTTAAAAAGGTAAAGATTCCCTTGCTCAAAAGCCAGTCGAATCCGACTCTAGGGTTGCAGTGCTCATCTCCGTTTCAAAGCCGAAGAGCCAGTGCTGTCTGAAGACGTTTCCGTGGTCATGTGGCCGGCATGACTAAGCACCAAGGCGCACGGAATGCTGTTACCTTCCCACCAAAGTGGTACCTATTTATCTACTTGCAATTTCTTGCTTTCTTCTTATCCACCAAGTGCAATACTCTTCTGAGGGTATATCAGGAGAGCCAGTCTTAAAGATACGTGGGTCCCATACTGTAAAGGGCCTTAAAAGTTAACACCAAAACCTTGAACCTGGTTCGGTATTCCATCAGGAGCCAGTGCAACTCACGCAGCACAGGTTAAATTTGTGCTGCTCATGGTGTCTTGTAAGGACCCATGCCACTGCATTCTGTACCAGTTGGAGTTTCTGGGTCAGTCTCAAGGGTAGCCCTACACAGATCAAGTTACAGTAGTCTAGTCTGGATGTGACCATTGCATGGATTACTTGTGGCTAGATTAGGACAAGACAGGTAGGGAGCCAGTTGCCTGACCTGAAATAGCTTGGAGAATGCCAATCTACGAACAGGTACCACTTTGCCAATATACGAACATTTGTGACCTGGGCCTCCATTAATAAGGAGGCATCCAGAATCACATCCAAACTCTTGACATTTGGTGCCAGACTTAAGGGCACACTGTCAAGGGCTGGGAGTTGGTACCCCAATCCTGAATCCCCCCTTCCCAGCCACAGAACGTCTGTCTTAGCAGAATTCAGTCTCAGCACTGGGGGAGAGAAAGACTGGAAGACAGAGAGCCGAGCAAAGATAGTGACAAAAAGGGAGAGTAGGAAAAAGAAAGAAACCCTGATCGAAAGGGCTTCTTTGATAGATCTGCAACTAGAAGAAGTGGGGGTAGATTCCAAGTTTAGATTTAAATCCCATTAAACAAGGCAAGATAAATGTCCTAGAGGCATTCATATAAAACTGTGACAAGGATTTACAGACGTTGATACAGCATATTGTATAACAGGAGTTTAATCTGATGATTGTTCAGCCTTTAATCAGATTTATCACCTAAAACTTTAAGGAAGTATAGAATGTTAACAGAGATTACCTCTATAGTATAACTGAACCAGATTTATTTCTGGGATTGCTGCTTAAATTGCCTGCCTACCCTGAAAGATGATATAATACACATGAAGATATTTAAGCTATAAAAGAGAGTGGTTAAAATATAGGCAACCCAAAGTTAATGTTTTGTATGAATGTTTTGAATAGTCACTTCTCTTGCACAGCATGCTAGATTTTCTTAATTTCTTTCAGTGTTGCATGAAAAGATTGGCTATAGGAAGGAAGTCTGGCAGGTTTGCATTCCTTTTCTCTTGCCCTCCAGCTCTCTTGCCCTCTGCTTCTGACAGTGATGATGCTCTGACAGAATGCAGTGCTACAGCATATGTTAAAGGCAACAGGGAGCTTAAATGTTTTGCGCTGCCAAAATAAGGAAGTTGTTAAGCCTACACCTTTCTGCACTTAAAGTCCGTCCCGTGCAGGCCTTGAGAGATTGTAAATGTAATTTTGTGTGTGTAAAGAGATGTCAAGTCACAGCCAATTTATGGCAACCCCACAGGGTTTTCAAGGCAAGTGATTCAGCAGAGGTGGTTTCCCATTGTGTTCCTCTGCAGAGTCTTTTGGTGGTCTCCCTTCTCTTCCTTGCTTAGGTTCTGAGATCGGACAAGATCAGACTATATCATGCCTTCTTCCCTCCCAAATGCAACCTTAACAAAAGTTAAAAAAAATGTTTAACATTGGCTATTATTTCTTATGTTTATTTTATTTGTAATTAGATTATTTCTTAGCTCAGTTCTCAGCAAAATATGTCTAAAGGATATCACAAATGACTTTTTTAAAGTATAAAATTATTAACAATCAGTCTCAGTAAAATATGCAAAACAGCAAAACAAAAATAGGAGCATAAAAAGCACAATAACAATAGTTCAACAGAACAAAACTCAATATAATACCAAGTAGCACAATGCCTGAGCAAACTGATTTGTATGTGATGGCTAACACCTTAAGGACTGAGACACTGAGGGCACAGTCTTAAGCAGAAGTCCCACGATACTCAGTGGGGATTAGTCTTAGAAAAGTGCCCTTAGAGTTGCGGCCTGAGTGCAGGTAAGTTATGCAGGTTAAGTTATTGCACAGGAAAACCTCCACCACAGACTTTTTTTAAAGTGTGTAAACTGCTATGTATACATAAACAGAGAGTCTCAGGAAAGTCAAAACCAATAAGTATAATTTCTAACGCTAGCAACATTCCAGAGCATATCAATTACACGCCATTCCTTTCTTCAATAATTGATTTTTAAGAAAAGATACCATCCACAGTTGTGTGTGAGGAATTCTGTTTCAACTCTGAAATTTGGAGGTAGATTGTACCTTTTCTACAGAGAGGAGCTGAGGAAAAGGAATAGAGTCAGAGGCACTGTCTTCTTCCTATAAAGGTAAAGGTTCCCTTGCTCGAAAGCCAGTCAAATCCGACTCTAGGGTTGCAGTGCTCATCTCCGTTTCAAAGCCGAAGAGCCAGCGCTGTCCGCAGACGTTTCCGTGGTCATGTGGCCGGCATGACTAAACACCGAGGCGCACGGAACGCTGTTACCTTCCCACTGAAGTGGTACCTATTTATCTACTTGCAATTTCTTGCTTTCAAACTGCTAGGTTGGCAGGAGCTGGAACTAGAAACGGGAGCTCACTCCGTCTTGCGGCACTTGGGTCTCGAACTGCTGAACTACTGACCTTCCACAGCCTGCAGTTCAGCATCTTAACCACTTGAGCCACCGCAGCTTCTTCCTATAACTTCACATAATTGGTTCCGGGCACAAGCTCTAGAGTTCAGCATTAAATGAAATCTACTTGGTGGTGTTTCTGGTAACCACTCTATTTTTCTTTTGTAGGAGGAACTTTGTTGGTGTTATGGAAAATGGCAATGTCTACAGAAGCTGGAAAGAAAGCAGGACGTGCCCTTATTGAAAGTTTGGTTTAAGAGTACGAGCCTCTGGAAAAGCTCAGCTGTATATAAGCCTGGTTATCTTAACAGTGTTTGGCTAAAGTCACCATAACTCAATTTATATCAATATTTGTTTAATTTTTTCAATTCATCCTCATTTCTTTATTCTTGTATGCTGATTCTAGTTCTAAACTGCTGACCAAGTTAGTTGACATCCATTGGGTGGAAATACAGTGGGATATAGACAAATGTAGGGGCATGGCTAGTTCTGTCTGAAGTCTACCATCTCCAGAAGAGCACATGTGTGCAGTGTGGATATATGGCTAAATAAAAAAGAAAATACAAATGGGAATGCCAAGGCAAAAATGTGCAACATTTATGGGAATGGTTTCATGGGATGTTTGAAGACCTGTCATAGATTCAGGAACAGATTTGTAAGAAAAACAGAGCTGAAACAAAACTGCTCTTGCAATGCCCAGTTCTTCTTAAGGACCCAGAGGTTTGCTGAAGACCAATTATCCAATCCACAGAGTGGGAAAAGGTTGTCATATTATATGTTGCTGAGTGTCCGCTCCTTCACATAATTGAGATGTTTATCCATCTGACTATCCCAAGAGTTTCTAGCAAATACCATGATCTAAATCTGGTTGTGGAAATGTTGATCTTCAAATTTCTGATTTGATTTGCACACTACATTGGATACTTTTTACAAGTAAAAATACATTCTTAAATAAAATAAAAATAAAGTATCACTTATCTCATATCTGCGGATTTACAATGATTTGCAGAACATATACCGGTAAATGAACTCCACTCATTTGCTTTGCTTAATTCATAATGGTTTAAATAAAGCTCAAAATGAATCCTGATTTTCTGTGTCCCAAGACATTTCAAAAATACCTTTTTCTTCCTTTTGGTTGGAAAGAACTGGTTTCTTGGAACCAGTTACTCAAGAACGTCAACATTTTGATTTAAAGACTACATAAAAACCAAATTCAGCACCCTAATTACAGTTTTGCAACATCTGGCTGAGCTGGGTACAAGGAAAGGGAGAGAGAAAGGCCAGACCAAAGATGTTGAACTCATTTGTTACAAGGGCTGGCTCTGACATAAATGTCATTTTGGCCTATTATGCATGGGTGTTTTACCTCATTTTCACCATGCATGTCCATCAAGTTTTTTCGTTCTGCATTTTTTTTTCTCCCTTCAGTGCTCAGTTTGCTGTCCAGTCGCTATTTCTCTGGGTTTTCTGAAAGTGGTTCTGGGCTGGTTTTTCACTTGTTTCACTTCTGAACTAAAGGTAATTCAAAAGCTTACAGATTCCCTCAGATTTTACCCCCGACACCCTTTTTCTGCCCCTCATAGGCCACTCCCATACCCACATACAGGTTATTCCACCCACTCTGGACTTTCCACCATTCATCAGTGTGTCCCTTGTTGTTTGTTTGACATTTAAATTTTTTTTACAAGTGATCTGAGTCTAGTGACATGAGACTAACACTAGTCTCAGATCACTGTTTAAAAAATGACTCCTTTGGCCTTCGCCTTGAGAGAGGCACCCCAAGCGCCCCAGGCTGGGAGCCCTCTACAGGGGCTCTGGGGGGAGTCCAGAACCAGCCAGACCCCCTCCCTGCTGCCAAGTCACAGGCCGTTCTCTCCAGAGCTTCGGAGGAGCGTGCCCGCCATCAGTTGTGCTCGCCTCCCCCACTCCTTCTCCTATGCTTGCACTTATCTTGCAGGTGTCCTTGAGGCTAGAGGTGCTTCTTCTCCGAGCTTCCCGCTGGGAACCTAACAGCTGGGTATTAGCCCACACTTCATAGTCCTTGCTCATTGGCTTTGTAATATCAGGAGGTCTCCTTTGAAGGGGGTATATCCCAAAAGCCGACAGGAGATGAAAAGACTCTGGTTTGGGTTGGCTCATCTCAGAGAGATGAGGGGGTAGCTGTTGCTTTTCTACAGGGAGGTGGATTGAAATTGTCCACTGAAATCATGGCTAGTGACATGGACTGCCTGACAAGGTCTCGAGATAGCAAGAGGAAGGTTGCAGGCTTAACTTGTATGGGAAATTATAGCTGTTTCTATACAAATGCTAGAAGTGTCTGAGGTA